GAAAGTTTGGAGAGTAAGAAGAAGAAGAAGTGCGAGGATCAGTGTAATTTTGGTGGGAAATTCAGTTAGAGAGTAAACAATTGCAGCTCTGTTTCTCTGCTCGAGTGAAGGGATTTTCTGAGACTAGAAATTGGGAGAAGGATAAATGATATAAAAATAATAAAAAAATAAAAGTAAAAATACTAAAATCGGATTTTTATTTTTATTTCAACGTGGCACGGTTTGGTGTTTGGATGGGCGGTTGCAATGTTTTTTATTTATTTACTAGTACAAAACCCGTGTGTTACACGAGTGCTAGCTAATTTTTTTTCTTAAAATCTAAAATTAATGAAAAAAAGTAGTTTGAAAATTTAAATATTTTTTATAAGAATATATATATTATTATATAATTATTATGACACTTTTTATTTGTGCAACTTACTTGTGTTATATTATACTAATTTTTTTTAACTTACAATATATAACTACATTACATATAAATATATCAATTGAGAAATAATTTTATTTTTCTAATGAATTTTAATAAATATTATTATTTTTTATTATTATAAAGATAAATATAATGTATTTATTTCATATATACAATATGAATGTCAAATCGAAGATCATCAAAAGATGATTAATTTGATATATTGTATATGTAAAACTGATACGAAATACAGAAGTTATCCACTTTTAAAATACATTTATAATTCAATAGCTAATTGAAGGAAACAAATCAAAAGTCAGGGATATATTAGTCACTTAATGTCTCAATATGTAAAATTACAAAGAAATAAAGGGTTATATTAGTACAAGTGACATTAAAATACCTAAGTTAGTTAAATAATATTTATAGAATGTCCAAACCTAAATTATTAATTATTAATATATCAATATTATTTGTCCAAACTTAATTACGAAGCATGATTCTTTGCCAAGTAGAATTCCGGAGCACCAGAAGCAGCCACGTAGGCTCAGCGCACAGGAATAATATATAGGGAGAATATATATTTTTTTTTGCATATAATAGAATTAGATGGTTTCTTTGAAAATTTATCATAATATTATTTAAAAATTATTTCTCATAAATATTTAATGTATATATCTTAATACGAATATATAAATAATAAAGTGAATATACTAAAAGCAAACAATAAAAATTTAAAATGGTAAGTTATGATTTAATTTTAAGTATGTACATTTTACAATTTAATACTAACCAGTAGATCTGAATTTTTTATTCTTTACTTTAAACGTTGAATACCGAAAAATAAAATGATATAATAGAACTAGAGCGATAAATATTGCACTATTCAACTTAAGACTTTGTATTTTCAAACTCTTAATTTAAAATCATTATTAACTTTTTGATTTTTAATTGTCATTTAATAATATGAATCTAATCCATAAAAAATACAAGTTTTTTAATATTTTATTGTTTAAATGTAGTTGCAAAAATTATAAAATAGCGTAAAAAAACATGTCATTTCAACACTCGCGTAAGTTTTTGGGACAAATGCTAAATATATGATGCTACTTCGAGTTTTTGTGCTAACTGCCAACAGTGGCAATTAAATTCTACAAATTTATATTTTCTCCCTCCCCTCCTCACTCCCCTTCAATTATTCACGAATCATCTTGTAGAGGAATAGTCATGGCCTCAACCCTATCATTGTCCCTCTGTGACGACGACGTCCGGCCACATCCCCACTCCCCTAGCCCTCCGTGTCAAGACAATCATTGTTGTCACCGCTGCCTACCGCATTCCTCCCCCGCGTTGGAAGTCCAACTAGACGTCGACCCTCAACGAAGGACAAGCGGTACTCCCTCACAGAGCTACCTCAGCTCTGACTACTAGGAGGAGGTCACCACCAACGTTCATTTACGATGCCTCACCAAACCCTCAAAGACCACCATCTAGTTTCACCACAAGATAGAAGCTCTGCAGGCGTTACGACACCGAGGTCTTGTGGTCCGCCACGACCATTGTTGACATGCGAGCCGGGTGTCGGCCCCTCAAAGAATAAAACTAGTCTAGGGAAAAAGGTAAAAAATAGGGTTGAAATTCTCAGTAGTCGAGACACTAAGATTGGAGAACCGAGCATGTTCACGGTGAACCAACCCCAACGCACTAATTTGACAAAAGTGATAAAATAATCACCACTTGCCAACAAATTATTAGAGATGGGACATCATGTAGCTTTATAGGGTTTCATGTCGCATTTAATGCGCCTGTCACGTCTATTAATGGTAAAGATTATATTTCCCAATGAACAATATCATATGTGTACTACTACAAATACACTTGGTACTCCTTTGAAAAAGAGGACAAAAAATCCCGAGCTACAAATACACTTGGTACTCCTTTGAAAAAGGGGATGAAAAATCCCGACACAAAAGAGACAAAAACTCGCTCTCAATAAAAACTTCATTTAAAGGGTTATACAACTGAATTGAATGATCAATCAAACCTCCTATTTTATATATTTTCTTTATCTTATCTTGTTTAATCTTACTCCATTACATTTGAACAATCAACAAATCGTTCATATTCGTTGTCTGAAAATAGAAGGCAACTGTTAGGAAGTAGAATGAGGGCTCATACTATTTTAGGTAACTTTTAACTTAAAAACCACTCAAAAACACATGAAGAAAGTCGTCATCTAACCAAGAAAATCAACACGAAACATTCACGACCGAACAAACCCGTGGAGGAGCCCAACAGACTTCACAACTTTATTTCAAAACCCAGATTTTATAAAGGTTTTTTCAATCTCTTGACACAAATCTTGCCGAAATTTCACATGCACCCAGTGAAGGATCTATAAATTTTATCGAGGGGGCCAAACAATAATAACAATAAAAAAACATTAATTATAGAAATAAATAAATTAGACAAGCACGGAGTAAATAAACATAGTACATATATCTGAGTACTCAAGTCAAGAAAATAACTTACAATAATATTGAGAGATCATAACATTTCTCTTCTATTTTTCATGTTTTGAAATCGTTGCATGATAGCCTCATTGCTAACATTCTGAAATATATCTTTCTCGATGTATGCCACTAAACAATCATTCTAAAGCTCATCACCCATTCGATTACGTAGTGTACTTTTGATGATTTTCATTGCCGAAAAAGCTCTTTCCACTGTAGCAGTGACAACGGGTAAAATCAATAACAACTTAATCAATAAGTAAACCAGTGGAAAAACATCATATTTTATTCTAGACACCATCTTTTGAGTAATATCTCCAATATTGACTACATTCGAGAAGTCTTCATCTAAGCGCATATCAAAAATGAAATTCCCGAGCTGATTTTCAAGTTCATGTAAAGCAACTGTAGAAAACTCTGATGGATAAAATACTGCAAGACAGAGCGATTTCTTTATCAAATGCAGAAAATGAGTCTCTTGGATCAAAGTATACCATTGACAAGAGTAGCTCCGGGTTCACTTCATCAAACCGATTTTTAAGCTTTTGAGCTAGCATATCAATCACGGAATAAAATAACTCAACTCGATAATGGTGAACATTGGTCATCTTTTCAACGTTGCGCATTGGTCTTCCTTGAGTTGCTTACATACCTTCCATATCCAATATAACTATCTTATATTTGCCACAAAACTTAGAAACTTCAGCCAGTAAATCATCCCAACCATTATCTCTGGTGGCTTGCATACGAGCTTTAGCGACTTTAACAAGTTTCATCACATTAACAATATTTTGATCCCTTCTTTGAATAACTTGAGACAACTCATGTGTGACTCCCAAATTTTTCATCATAAAATGTAAAAGTTGAACATATTCACAATCTTTAACAAATCAATGGCTTCAGCCCTTTGTGAATCATCATTTCCTCTTTCATCATTATACTCAAGAAATATCAATAATAGATGAAAATAAGTATACCAAGTTTATGAGAGTACCATAATGTGAACTCCAACGAGTGTCTGCCGGTCGCTTCAATGTCATCTCTTGATTTAATCTTTTTCCTGTCTCAATCTCATTGCTTGCGATCCCCTCAATTACTTTCTCCTTTTGCTTTTCTCTAAGCATATCTCTACGCTTACAAGAACCTCCAACAATATTAGTTAAACAAGTAATCGTATTGAAAAAAGAACACACACTTGTATGCTTTTTAGCAACATAAACGCGTGTGAGTTGGAGTTGATGAGTAAAACAATGAACATATTATGCGCTATAATTTTTCTTTAATATCAAACTTTTTAGTCGACTGAACTCACCTTTCATATTGCTCGCTCCATCATTACATTGTCCTCTTAAACTAGAAATACTCAGGCCATAAGTAGGGAACAAATAGCAAATACCTTCTTCGAGTGAAGTTGCAGCCATATCACAAACATGC